GTAGCTCACATAAAGATTTAGTTTAATATGTAGGATCTGAGGTTTTCACGGCAGTGAGCCTGAGGATAGCTGTCTTCTGGTAGAAGTTTACTGACGTTTCAGAGGTCATTTTTGCCTCCATCATCAGGGCGATGAGATGATGAGTTCATCGCGCTGAGATAATGAGTAATCATCTTATCGTCCTGATGATGGAGGCAAAAATGACCTCTGAAACGTCGGTAAACTTCCACCAGACTACACGGCGTAACAACCCAGAAGACAGACATCTTTAGATTAATACTTAATTTTTTTACAAACTCTCTACCTCAAAGAAAACAACTTGTCTCCATGATAAGGATCACCGGTTAATGCTGTTTAAAGAAAAAATTATTGTTTATTCTGAGAATCATAAGTTATTTGTTGTTAAAGTAGGTGGTATTGGGATTTAAAATTTTAAATTCGGGGAGTAGTTGCTACAGTTCGTTTTAGAATATTTCGTTTTTCTCTGTACTATCTAAAAGTTGAACGCAAAAACTGTTTTTCGTTATCCACTGCTCTCTTACAAATGAGGGAAAAACTGATTGAACCAAAGGTTTCTGAGAGGAGAATTCTTGACAGCTGATGGAGGAAATGATGAGTCCCGAAGCCATTTTTTGAAATAGCAAGTTTGTAGTCATGAATCCATATTTCGTTCTTGTAAGCATTTTGTAAAGTATATTCATCTTAGATCTTGGTCGTTTATCACCGTGTCCATTAGTCTTGAAGTAGAGAAATGAGACGTATCACAGAAGGCCACGATATATAGTCGAGAATAAAATCGTTTCTGGTGTTCAGTGACAGACTGGAAGCTAAAACGAATTTGAGACGTTTGTAAATTTAAGAAATTTCTAACAGGATGTGTTTTTATATCATGATCTTAAACATGAGGTTCTGCTGACTAAATGTATAAGCAGTGTAGTATTTTTATAACGTTGTGTGTGAGGCTGGCATAATAAATTTAGTATTCTCCACTTCCAAACGTCCATCATTTGTTGTGAAATAAAGCAGACCAGACATGTTGAGAAACAAACCAGAATCACGTACAAACTTCTACGCGGTATCAGTTAACTGAAGGCAAACCTTAAAAGACTTCAGAAGAAAATTATTTGCGCGCTAGTCCGCTATTCCTGGGAGGCGTCGAGTTTCATGACGGCTTTTCAATAGACGATAACCACAATTTTAAGTTTACGTAACTTCCCAGTACATAAAAATTATTTTTGGGGTCACATTGAATGTGAGTTTACCATTGGATAGGATCTTTCTCCGTCCAGGAGGGTAACTATCAAACCTTTGGTTATATTCTTTCCATCTCAGTAAAGTAACTTCCGGACAAGTTAATAAATAGTACGCTCTGATGGCCAAGAAATTCCCCGAATATTCATTACTGTTTACAGAAGCATGAACCAGATGAATGCTACCTTCTTTCCCCAAACTCCATTTTAATATTATCATGTGGTCTTCACTCTTCAGGATTATCAACCAAAATTTTGTACGCATTTCTCATATGATGTGTGGTCAGAGCACTAATTAAAATAAAGCTAACTGATTTGTGATGCCGTGTGAAATCTGTGACGTGATTACCATTGAAACAACTGGTTTGTATCTGCAGTGAATGAACATAAATCGTTTATAGCCGAATGGTAACTATACTTACCAGCTGCCAATCCGTAACGCTACATTTTGTATTTCTGTGTTTTGATCGATTATCAATGAAACAGCGATTATCTCCTTAATCAGCGTTAACCAGTTGATCTTTGTAATGGTGAAGTGTAGTGTTTTCTTCGCGGTACGGACTGTTTATTTAACACGAGCTTCGACTTGAGACGATTAGAACCGGCGCCAGTCGCAGAGAATGTGTTTGGAAAACCTATAATTCTTTACTTCAAACTGGGGCACACTTCCCCAGTATACACCGTAGTTTTGTGGACTTACCCCCTCCGTTCTGATAGCAGATGTATGGGAAGCGCCACACGTTGCCTAGATCCACGGCGAAGCCGATGACCGCCAGAAGGAACTCGACCTTTTTCCCCCATGTCTCACGAGGTCGGTCTGGTGTTAGGGTCACCGTGACGACCTTCCCCTGATGCTGTTGCTGATCGGCCCCACCGTCACCATGGTCCTGCGCCCCCTGATCACTAGCCATGTCCCCCAACACGCCCAGGATGTGAGCCACCTGCAAAACAAAATACCTACTGTTACGCTATGTGGATAAGGCTCTGAAGATGGAGGCAGTTTTTTCTTCCGAAACGGTCGTGTCTGCCTGCGAGTCCACAAGGCGTGAAAATCTAAAATCTCTTACAATCCCCGTCCATAAGCATATCTGAAGCCCAGGTTTATTCAACTTCTTAGGCAGGCCAGTCTTAATATGTTTGATTTTTAGTGATTAATTTGCGAAATTACTCGAACGTTGGATAAACCGCAAATTTGACACTAGAAATGAAGAAATCTGTGGATTTGCATTACAGCGACTGTCATCCTGAAGGTTGGACGATGGGAACAAACACCATTCAACAGAAAAGCTAACAGTCGCTCAGCTTTCCTGCCCACCTTTTATGAACGGGGATGTTTATTATGGTGTTTATCCCAGCCCTGTGAGTCGAATCCACATCTTGACACCCTGTTTGTTTAAGATCCACGTTAATAATGTCCTTCTAAGTGATATTTTTAGTCTCATCGCCCCCATGCATGCTGCACATCCTGCCCATCTCACCCTCCTTGATTTGGCCGCCGTAGTACAAAACTGAATTGACATGTGACGAAAATGTTGTCTGTTAAATGACACAAAATAAATCTCCAAGTGATTAAAATAAGAAATAATTAATCGTTTGAAAGGAATCGGTTTTGTTTAAGAAATGAATTGATTGATCGGAAGTTCCACGGTCTTGGCGCTGTATTCGATGTGTTTATTGCGATGTTTGTGAAGAGCGTAAAACGAGGAGACAGATGATTGTACTCGCCGTTTCATGGACTTTCTTTCCTGGAGCCTTGATAAAAGCAGGCCTGCGGACTGATCACGTGACGGGCCCCGCTACACAGAGATAACACCGTTCGATATATCGACAATAAGAACGTATCATTCAGAGAGGGATTCGATTTCTACCAGGGCCCGGTCGGTGATTCTACAGTCATCGGTGAGTTTCAACTTTGTGTGATTCCGTCCATTTTCGCAGTGACTAAAAGACCTGGGATTTGTACAGCTTCTGGAGGGAGGCACAAAAATTTAATCGGACAATGGAGGGTTACGAACAGGGGTAATAAATCGGTGGCTTGTTAGAAGGATAGGGTGGAATCCCCACCCCCACTCCACCCCTCACAGTTCTCTAGCTCTACAAATTGGTCCAGGATACTGGAGCCTCCCATCCCGTGTTCACTCCAAATAAATACGCAATTTGAACGCATCTCTAACGTTACCAATTGTTGAGGCATTGTTCGAAACTCCCATTCAATGCAATTGTATTAAATTATTGTAAATTATGGATTTTTTCCTCATTGTCCTTCAGCATTTACCTCGTACGGGGCCTGTCTTGTTGAGACGAGAGGCAAAGTCCAACTGACAATGTGAAAGCCGTATGTGTTGTCACCTCCGTCAGAATTTTTCCATCCCGACACATTTAAATGTATCCGCCGTGCTTAAAAATTGTTGGAAATTATTTTTTTCCGAATTAGTTATCTACTAAACCGCCACGGTGGTCTAGCGGTTAGAACGCTGGCCTTGTAATCCTGGGGTCTCGGGTTCGATTCCCGGCGGTGCCCGAATTTATAACTTGTGTTAGGCAAGGCCGTGGTCTAGGCAACACGGAGTTTTCCTCCGGGGGCTTCCCCGGTTTCTCCGTGGCATCCCAACAATTACTCCATTCACACACAGAAGAAGGCAATGGCAAACCACTTCTGGATCATCTGCCAAGAACGTATATGAACAGGTCCCAGTCCGAGAAAAGGATGGAAGGATCCTGTTCATATGGACCTGTCGTCAGACAGAACACCAAATAATAATAATAATAATAAATTTATCTACTGCTTACCACAATCCCTTATTTGTACCCTATATATTAGTTTTCAAATTCGCCTTAGCATGTAACTTAAGCAGAGGAAAATTTTATATTTTTATTCAAAATTTAGTACATCATAAACTCCGTGTGTCTGTGTGTTGAGGGGGCTCTCACGTTAAGACATTAGGGGAAGAACACATTTTGCGGGTGCTTAGGATAATATTTTGATGTTGGAGAGATGAAGTGAGAAGAGGGTAGCGAAAACGTCATAATGAGGAACTTCATAATTTGTACTCTCCATAAAACATTGTCAAGAAGGATTCGATGGACGGGTCATATAGCACGCATTGGGGAGATGGGAAGTGTTTAGAAAACTGGTTGGAAAGACTGGAGGGAAGATGCCACTCGGAATATCTGTATATAGATTGGAAGATAATATTAAACTGAATCTTAAGAAAATAGGATTTGGGGGAACAGATTGGATTAATCTGAATTAGGATAGGGATCGATGGTGGGATGTTGTGAACACGGTAATGAACCTTCGGGCCCTATAAATTGCTGGGAATTTCTGAATTAGCTAGACAGGCGTCATCTGCTACGCAATCTGGGTTAATTCTGTGAGTTATGGGGTTATAACAGAGGTATTTGGGTGTGCAATGCGCTCAGACGTAAGCGGCGGACAGTTCAAATACGCAAACAGTAGCAGGCCGTGTTTCATTATCATCCGACGGATCTGACTATATTCCACGGCTTTTGTAAACCCCTCCGGGCGAATGCTGGCATCGTACACAATTAGAACAGAAGCTTTATTAAGAAGCTGATTGTAGCTTAGGTGGCCAAGAAATCCAGGGCCTCTTTATAAAACCCGAAGCCCCAAATCTTAGTGACATTTCGAATATTCCGCCACCTGAATCCATTTCACATCCTGACACCCTGCTTCTTTAAGATCCGTTTCAATTCAACTATCACCTCAGTCTAGGTCGCCTTTACGTGTCTTCCCGTCAGAGTTTCCGAATAAAATTGTGTAAAAATTTATCATCAAAATTTCTAGTCTTGACCAAAAGGTGAGTACACCAAGGAATGTCTGATTACCAACACGTGTGAAAAATGCTTTCACAGTTTAATTCGGAAAATGTTACAATTTGGGAATATAAGCATATCGAGAGGATGATATTAAAATCAGTGAAATTTTGAAGTTCTCACGGCGACGGTTGTGAAGTTGGGTGTCTTCTGGGGTGTTACGTCGTGTACTCTTGTACGTATTGACTGGCTTTCGGAGGAGCTTACAGTGTTCACGATCAGGACGATAATATTTGGATTTCTGATTCGTTGATGATAAAATTCTCTTAACCTTTTGAAGCCGAAGCTCGGCTCAGTAATATTTAAGAATTCAATCCGTACCGCGAAGAGAAAACACAGCTCTTCACCATTACAAATTCAACTTGTTAAATCTTTATTCACGCTGAGAATCATACGAAATGTAGTAATATACTCTTTGAGCAAAATTGCTGAGTTATTTAATGTCAAAACAGGTGGTACATATAGTTACCACTGTGGTTTATAACGTCAAGGAAAGGTCGCAAAGAGAGTATTTGTACTACTTTCGCGTACTTTTAAAGATTTTAAAGACAGGCAGCTCTGTGCAACCGCTCTACAGATCAGTTTATGTTTGTTGTCAAAACATTGTTGAGGGGCCAAAGAGGTCGGGAGGTCTAGAGGATCACGTAAGACAAGAATAAATCTCCTGGGCAGTGGGCCCGGGGGGGGGGGGGTT